AGAAAGAGTGACCCGAAATATAAAAAAAAAAATAAAAGTAAAATTGAATAATGGAAAAGTGTTAGATAATAGAAATAGACACATACATCCACAGAGAATTAAGAGGAAACACAAATTTGCAAAATAATTACTTAATTAATTATACTGTTATTTTTCTTTCCATTTTTAGTCTTACTTATGTTTTTATCAACTATAATTTTGGTTGACGCACAAGATATAAGGATAACACCACTAAATTATGAAACGGGTTATACTATTCTAAAGAAAGAAAAGATGGATGTTATACACAATTTCGGTAAGATATATCACATAAATGATTTGGAAAACTATGAAGATATAATAGCAAAATTAAATGAAGCAATTATAAATTTTAATGCTACATTTCAAAATAATAAGTCTACACGAAACTTATTATTTGCATTAAATACAGTAGAAACAAAACTAACTTCAATAAAACCATTAAGAATTAGACACAAAAGAGCCTTAATGAATATTGTAGGAAAAGGAATGCATTTTTTATTTGGCACAATGGATGATGAAGATAGACAAGAACTAAACGATCATTTAAAACTTATTGATGAAAACAATCATAATCTAATAAATGCACATAATAAACAAATTAATATTAATTTAGAATTGCAACAAAATGTCGATTTGTTAGCAAATATAATTGAAGAAAATTTAAAACAACTCTAATTCAGTTTTAAGAAATTTGACATCATTGCAAAAGAAAGATGTAGAAGCAATAGAATTAATACAATTACAATTTGATATTAATTATTTATTAAATGAAGTAGAAAAAATTCAAGATATAATAGCATTTTCAAGGATGGGAATACTAGGAAGAAATGTATTAACTAACAAAGAAATTACTAAATTTAGCGTCAATAATAAAAAAATTAAAATATATAAACTGTAATGTTATTGAAATTAAAAAGAATTTAATCGTTGTTATAATGATACCACAATTTTGCAAAGAAGATTTTTTTAAAATCGAAATCTTATCAATACCAAATAAAGCTCAAAAAGAGGTAAATATAGATAAACAAAACTATATAACAGATACAGAAAATGTTTTTGATTTTAATGATGAAATTCTTTTTAAAGGAAGACTCAATGAAAGAAATAAATGTATTCAAAATTTGTTTAAAAGCAAATTCAATTTATGTACTAGTAGAACAAATAAAGAAACAGAAATCAGAGAAATAGAAAAAGGAACTTTGTTTACAAAAAATTTACAGAAAATTAAATTGAAGCACGATTGTAACAAAATGAATTATGGAATTCAAGGAAATATCATTATAGAATTTAAAAACTGTACACTTAGTATAGAAGATAATATTTACGAAAATGTAGATAACATATTTTATAACATAGTAATATTACCATTTTATGATGATATGAATATAAGCATAAATATATGTAAATAATTTGGAAGAAATACATTTAAAAAATATAGAGAACACAGAAGAAATCAAAGAATTAAGGTACAATCACAAAAATAATGTTAATTTTTCAATCTCACTAACAGTAGTTTTTGTACTCTTATTAGTAATCTTATTAACGAAATATTGTATAGAAAGTAAGAATTATTGTAAAAGAGTGCAGAGGGAAGATTCGATGCACCAAGTGATTGAACTTCAGGAGCAGTTCAAATCTAAGAGGGGATGAGTTACACATTCAACCACCACACTCCCAACGTCATCACCAATATCTCCAATACCAACAACAACAACTACAACAAACTCTATTATTCCGATATTCAAGTCAATGGACACCGACCACACCAATTATAAACATACTTAATTCGACACCACACAATGCACAGTAGCGGGCAACATGCACACATCCATACATACATGCACCGACTACATAAATTTGAGACTATACAATGCATAAACGTACATACACATACATACGTATATGCGTACATGTTTATTGCAAGCATAAGTAAGATCAAGTGAAGCAGCGCGTACCTCACGCCTCATCTGCAATTAAAAGTAAATCACCGGAGTAACATAAGTACTCATAAACCTTACTCCACTGCAAGTGTTAAGTATCATGAAATAGCTAGGAATTAATGTTTGCATTCCAAAAGATGAAATTGGAACGATCGAATTCTGATTGGTCAAATTCGATCATGCCACTCCAGGAATAATGTATAAAAGAGGAATTTGCAAACTTTGCAAATCAGTTCTATTTCTAAAGTGAAAGTGACCAGTTCAAGTAGAGGTTCCAGTTCCGGATCCAGCTCTAGCATTGCAGTGTTCCTGATGTTCCTGACAGCAAGTATAATAATAATCAACTCATAATTTAATTCTTCCCTTCGCAGCTCTTATTTATTAGAAAACCAATTTAATGAATAAAAACCACGATCTTGTAATTTAAAGAAATAATATCTTTTATTTTAAAATAGAGTCACAACGTGATTCTATTCTTATATGTGTGTACCTACCCTGCAGTGAAAAATTATCAATTGTTAAAACTAACCAACTTATAGTTAGCTTTTTGGCGAGATTTCGATTAATACCTCACTTTTAATTAGCTATGACAAAACCAACTTAAAGTGAATTGTAAAGTCGTGCAGGAGTCATGCAGACGCAATCGGGAGTTGGTTTTCTTTACAAGTTTCTATTAAATATCCTCATACAAAAATTACTTTCAATACACTTTTTTTCTGAACTTCGCAGATTCTTTTTCATATTCAGGACAAATAAAAGGAATATCGAAATTTTATACTATCATTTTGAAGTTATGTCTGACGGTGTTCGAATATGGGGCCACCCAGAGCAGAATATGTAAACAAATAGAAATGTAATAAAATAAAGTAAATAAATAAGTAAATAAAAAATTAAAAAATCAAAAAAATATTTTGTTTTTCTTATTGATATTTTATGTCCAAAAGTAGTTAGTTACAAGTTAGTTGACATGTAATGCAGAGGTATCCAGGTCTGACTTTTTTGCGGCCATCGCCCCACAAAAGTAGTTAGCTTTTTTCGAACAAAATACACAGTTAATAGTTAGCACTAGTGTTCGCGTAAACAGACTAAAGTTAGGTATAAGCTAACGTCACTCCCTGCAGGGTACATATCGATGGTCCTGTGCAATAACGACACAATTCCAAATTCAAAAACCAAAAGCTGTTACTACTGTTAAGTGGCTCTTGTCTCTAATCCTTATCTAATCTATTTCCATCTCTTACTAAAGTAAGCAGTAAGGATTGATAAGTAAATACAAAAGATTAGACATAAATTCGACAAGGATTACATGAGCCACTTGACAGTAGTAACAGTTTTTGGTTTTTGAATTTTGAATTGACAATCGATATGTGTAAATAATAATAAAATACCTTTTGAAAAATATCAAACAAGTTCCAAGCACTTTGTAATTATTATTTGAATGGATGGGGCCCAGAAAATTCCTCTATTTTACATTTGTAATTTTAGCCGAGGCGCTTAATTTTCAAGCCAGACTTTTTGTGTAGCTAATGTGTGTATATTAATATATAGCAAATGTATGTATATTAATATATAATGAAATATGAGTATTAATATATAATAAAAGCATAATTAAAGCTTAATATAAGTTGACCTAAGTCTAAGCTATAAAATAGTTTTTGTATATTTAACTAAGATATATAAATACTGACCCCTGGGGACCCATTTGACAATGGAGTAAAATTAGCATTTGACCACACACGCGTATGTAATTTTTTTTTTTTTTCGATTTACGCATTTGGACACAATATAACCCAAAATCATTGTACAAATAACCAAATAAATAACCGTTTGAAGCCATTTTAAACGAAATTTAATGAGTCGTAAAGACAACTTAACCGTGTTCATTTGAAGATGTCCAATAGATTCCTAGCCCTATATATTTGATGCATATATACATATATTTGATGCATATCCATGTATGTATATTAGACTGCATCACTTCCCATACAAAAAAAAAATCGGTACTATATTTCCATCGGAATTTTAAAATCTATTATATTTTAAGACTTCCACCAAAATATTTCGGAAAAATATTAAGATTTACGTGAGCTGGACCGATTTGAAAATTCCTCCAAAAATGGATTGTTTTATGAATAGTTTATAGTTTCTTAAAGAACTTTTTGAAAAAAATTCCCTCGGATGACAAAACAGATTAAGCTTAAAAAAACTGCATAAAAATATTTAAAAATCTTTTCATTGGAATCGTAATAATGAGATTTTTGATTTGGTGGACGTCTTCAAATATAATAAAATTTGTAATCCCGAGGAAAAACCGCAACCTTTTTTGGTGATGCAATCAAATGTACATATGTATGTATGTACTAATTAAATTTTTCACATAAAGGATATGATGGAGAGCCACCTCACAACTTTGTTCACGATGTCCAGCGAAGATGTTGCGTATCTGCCTGCCGGGGACCTACAGGAATCCTGTACGAGTTTCCGAAAACCGAAGTTGCCCGAAACACATGGGCTATTGCATGTAAGCTGTCACTTCCGGAAGTGGCTAAGAAGAAGCATTTTATACTCGAACGACATTTTGATCGGAAATTCGTTTCGAAGAAACGGCTGTTGGATGGCGCTATTCCGAAATACAATTTGCAAGATGAGGATACTGATATGGAAAATGCTAGTGAAGCTTCAAGCGCATGGAGAGTTCAACCAGTAAATCGCACCTACTTATCAGCCGCTGAAAATATGGAAGACGATGATCTAACATATGAGGAATTTGAATTATATTCTGATATGATGGGAAAAAACAGCGCTTGGATATATGTACCTCATAGCGACGAGGGTTTGGATGAAACGGAATAAGTCTGTGACCACGAACGATTCGCTGAAGCAGCTCGAGCCTATCAGAGAAATGCAGCAAAAAAGGACAAAGAGATCAAAGAGCTAAAAAAGGAAATTCGAACGTTACAGGAGAGAAATACTTTTTTGGAAAAAATATCAATAATCCCGCAAGCAGGAGCAAGCGATGATGCAATCGTATTCGCGAAAATGATCGTCAACGTTAGGAACACAAAATATACGGAAGAGGAAAGATCGTTGGCCCAAAACATTAAATATATGTCCAGCAAGGCTTACGGATTTATGCGAGAAGATTTAAGTTTCCGCCTCCCACACCAAAGGTCGCTGCTGCGTTGGCGCCCAATACGTTATGTCCGCCCTGGCATTGATGAGAGCGTTATAGCAAATTTGAAGAATATGGTAACCTCCATGCCAGAAAACCATCGCATATGTCAGATTACTTGGGATGAAATTTCAATAAGGAAGGATTTGACCTACAATCAATTTACGGATGTCATCGATGGATTTGTAGATAACGGCCAAGGACAGCGGGAGATGGTGATAGGAAATAAATGTCTATTTTTCATGATAAAAGGTATTTGCAGTAAATGGAAATACATTTTATCATACTACGTATCACATCACGCTGTATGTGCTAAGGACCTTGCGCAACTGATACGGACAAATATTGAGGTTGCACAAAGTATTGGGCTGAAAATAAAAGCGGCAGTTTGCGATCAAGCAGGTCCGAATCAATCTGCATTTAGGATTCTTGGCGTATCGGAGGAAAATGGACAATTTTTATTCAAGGGCGAAAAGATACATTTTATGTACGACTACTGCCACTTGATGAAATCAATGCGGAACACGTTTTTGAATAATCACGAAGTTATTACTGAAGATGGGATTGTAAGAAATTTAGTCGTGAAAAAACTATATGCGATTGATAAGGCCAACGACAACTTCAAGATATGTCCAAAACTAACAGATGTCCACGTATACCCGAACTCGTTCGAGAAGATGAGCGTATCACGAGCGACACAACTCTTGAGCAACTCGGTAGCCGCCGGGATCGAGATGGCCAATGACCCCGGCCTACTTGGAGAAGACAGAGGACTGCTCAAGTCCGTCAAGCCGACTCAAATCTTCGTAAAACGGATGAATGATTTGTTTGATGAGCTTGACGTCAAGTACATCGGACACAAAAACCCACTAAAATGGCCGATGCGCCGAAATTCTGAAGGAAAAACGGGTCGGCTACTTGATCACATACAATACCTACAGAACATTGGTGTAAGGAAAAAGAACTTGGCATGCATAAAAGGATTCATTCTGACAATAAGGTCAGTGATAAGCTTGTGCGAGGATATACTCGACCAATACCCAAGCTTGGACTTCGTGCTTTGCGGAAAATTGAACCAAGACGCGTTGGAGAACTTCTTCTACAAAATCAGAGCCAGCCAAGGACTAAATATGCATCCTACAGCACACGATATCCAATACATAGTAGCAAGATTAATGTCAATGAAGATTTTGAGACACCGTTTTCAGGAAAAGCGAAGTAATTGCGAGGATGATGACGACGTATTTTTGGACTGGATTGACGATCATTCTAACGCAGAAGAAAACGGTTGGGATGAGGACCTATCAGTCGACTACCCAGATGAGCAACTAGCCGTGGGTGAAGATCCGTTAATAGGCAATCCAGACGATCAATTAGCCATGGAAGAAGATCTTCAAGACATTCCGGAAGAGCTATTTATCGACGAAATTCCTGAAAAACCTGCGGAGCTTCAGGTTCAACGCTACTAAGCAGGATTCGCCATATATAAAAAGATCTTAAGGAAAATACATTGTGATAAATGCGCCAATTTCATGCAAAAGAAACAAAGCATAATGGAAGTTAGCTCCGAGGCATTGATTCGGGCAAAAAACTATACGGGCACCGAAGATATAAGGCTTGCGAATCCCAAGGACGAATTTTTTGAACTCTGTAGGATGCATTTAAAATGGTATCAGGAGTCCTTCAGTATCAGCGCTTGTAAACTCGAAGTGAAAAAGGAACTAATGCGATATATAAAGGAGAAAACTGTAAACTGTAAACGTAGTATAAACTTAAGTATATATTGTAAGTGTAAACCTAGTGTAACTTTAGCCTAAGTTAGTATAATAATGGCAACCCTGTAATAATATAGGGTTGGCTTGTTTGTTGGCAAGCCTGATAGTGAATAAAAGAAAGATGGCCGGGACTTCCGGGACAGAGCTAGAAAGAAGAAGACGTGTTTAAGTTCTCTTCAGATAAATCCGCAAACATCGGCGTTTAATCAACTCTAAAAGGAATTATAAAACTTCAGGTGTGGAGCGAAAACCACAACTATTGTGAAATAAAGAACATTTTAACAAAATGGCTAATCCAAGGCAAGGAATTATTAATGTTTTGACGGACGCCCAGGTGGATTTCCCACCATCTGCAACGACGACGCAACTCCGTAATTTGCTGCGGGATGTGGTGGGCGATCCCAAAACTGCCGCTTGGAAGGATGGTGTCAACGCCATTCCAGACGATGTCGATAACGCCGACTCTGGCGCAAATGCCGCTGCCGACATTGGAGTTACCCAATCTGTGCCGATGATTGCCGCTGCCGCCCATGCAGATGCCGCTGCCGATGCCGACTGTGCTGCTGCCGGTGCAACTCGTGAAGTTGCCGCTGCCGTTGCTCCTCGAAATGCCGAAAAGCTGGGATCGAGTTTGACTCAATTATTGGCGCTGAAAAAGAGGCTCGAAATACTCAAGTTGGTGAAGCAAATTGAGGAGCTTGAAGGTCACTCGTCAACCAAGTTCCAACGTCGGCTCGACTTTGGCGATATCGAGCACGCGCTGCCAAAGTTCAACGGCGATGATGTGGCCTATCCTGTATGCCACTCCTCAGAGATTTTGAGGAAATAATGTTGTCAACCAAGGCAGATGAGAGTTTCAAGCTCCTGGCACTTCGGCGTTCTCTAACTGGAACAGCGCGGGTGTTTTTATCCACGACGACTGCAATGAACTACGTCTCCTTAAAAAGGCTTTATTAGCCGAGTTCGACTTTACAGTTTCAAGGCAGGAAATTTATAAAATGCTAGCGCAGCGACGGTGGGAAAAGAAGGAAGAGACGCTTCACTGCTACTTACTGTCGATGCAGGGTACTGCCAAGCGAGCAGATATCGCAGGGCAGGAGGTGGTTGACCAAACTCGCATTTGCTGATGACAGCACGGAGCATCGACGAATTAAAAAACATAATAAACCGTTACCAAAATAAATACTTTGGAGCAGGCGGTGCGGTAGCCAACCAAAAATTGCCGGTGCCGGTTAAGCAGAAGGCAGGTCCTAAGGTGTTGTGCTACAATTGTTCGCAGTATGGGCATATCAAGCCCAGCTGCCCATTCCCACCTAGACCAGACGGGTCATGCTTCCGGTGCTGGAAGATGGGCCATGACCATCGGACGTGCCCTAATCCGAAAAAGACGCTGAAGAAGAGGGACGATGTAGCTGCCGTTGCCGACTTGGATGATGATGCCGAAATCGTTGGGAGCCTACAATTACGTAAGAATAGAATATAAGATATCTAAGGGAGTAGCTTCTGATTTAATTTTTTCCCAAAAGAGCTAAGCAAGGGTGTTTCTAGAGGGTTCACCTCTAAATATAGAGGAATTGGTGGCAAATTGCTAAGAATATATGGCACAGTAAAATGTACAATTGAATTTAAAAATAAAAAACATGTAATTGAACTTAAAATCGTTGCCGATAGTTTTATGTTTCTGCCGCTTATTTTGGGACGCGACTTTTTGCGTTTGTTTGGTATAAAATTAGCTAATGCAGATACTGACTGCTCTAGAAAAGATATGCTGAAAACGGAAAACGTAAATATGCCTATTAATGATGTGAGTGTCTCCGGCTTTCGCGGGGATATTGAGAAAGAGCTAACTAATAGCCACCAGGGTAATGAGGGGTGTACTGGCCTTAATGACCAGATATTTTTTGCATTGATGTATCTAGTGATAAAGGAAGACTTGATATTGACTCCAAATTGCCGGAAAAGCAAAAGGAAGATTTGAGACGTCTAATCATACTTATCTAGAGACGGATATTACCGTTAAACCATTCTCGTACGAAATGAAAATCCACCTAACGACTGATGTGCCGTTTCATTGTCCCCTGCGACGACTTTCTTATTCAGAACGGAATGACGTACAATCAATTGTAGATCAACTGCAGAGAGAAGGAATAGTTAGGCCTAGTAGTTCGCCATATGCTTCGGCGATCGTGTTAGTGAGGAAGAAAAGTGGGAAGATCCGCATGTGTATCGACTACCGCGCATTAAATAAAATAACTGTCAGGGATAATTATCCCTTGCCGCTTATTGACGATTGCATTGAGTTCCTTGAAAACAAAAAATATTTTCCAATATTGGATTTAAAGAGTGGGTTTCATCAAGTTCAGATGTCACCCGAATCGATCGCATATACTTCTTTCGTGACACCTAATGGTCAGTTTGAATATCTAAAAATGCCGTTTGGGTTGAAAAACGCTCCCGCTGTATTCCAGCATTTTATCAATAACATATTCCGCGATTTGATCGATGATAGAAAAATCATAATATATATGGATGATATTGTAGTCGCTACACATGGGTTCGAGGAGCACAAGGCTTTGTTAAAATTAGTGTTACAGCGATTGTCAAGGCGAGGATTGAAGTTGAATTTGGAAAAGTCGAAGTTTGGGCATGAAGAAAGGGATTATTTGGGGTATCAAGTGGGTCAAGCGGGAATCCGACCAAATGGTTCCCACATCAGCAGTATTTGCAACTTTCCAATACCCACTAACCAAAAGCAGTTGCAGTCCTGCATCGGATTGTTTTCGTATTTTCGGCGCTTCGTGCCATCATTTTCCCAAATAGCCAAGCCCTTGCAAAACTTATTGAAGAGACAGACCACTTTTGATTTCAATAACGTGTGTCTTGATGCTTTTAACGAACTAAAATCTCGATTAACTGATGGTCCAGTTTTAGCTATATACAATATGGATAAGGAGACTGAGTTGCATTGCGATGCTAGCTCGATAGGATTTGGTGCCGTTCTGTTGCAGCGACAGGATGACAATAAATTCCATCCCGTTTCGTATTTTTCGAAAACCGCTTCTGCTGCTGAATCTAAATATCATAGCTTCGAGCTTGAAACGCTCGCAATTATATACGCTCTTAGAAGGTTTAGGACTTATTTAGAAGGGATACCGTTCAAGATAGTGACCGATTGTAATTCTCTGGCAATGACTCTCGATAGGAAGCAATTAAATCCTAGAATAGCTAGATGGGCTCTGGAGCTGGAAAATTTAAACTATAAGATGCAGCACAGGAAAGGATCGTCCATGGGACATGTGGACGCCTTAAGCAGAGCTCAAATCGCGCTAGTTGTTGATATGGAAGAAATTGAATTCCAAATTCAAATAGCTCAAGAGCGGGATGAAACTATTAGTTCCATACGAAGTCGTCTGGAGACTGGACTTGTTAAAGACTTTGACTTGATGGATGGCCTAGTCTATAAATGTAGGTCGGATGGCAAGAAAGTGTTATATGTACCCGGTGAAATGGAGTCCAACGTCATACGACTGATACACGAAAAGATTGGCCACCAATCTGTAGACAAGACCGTTAGTAAACTAGGTATATATTACTGGTTTCCCAACATGAGAGCGAAGGCGGAAAAATTTATCAGGAATTGTCCGAAGTGCTTGATGTATGCTACGCCCCCTAGGGCAAGGGAAAGGAATCTGTATGTTATCCCTAAGACCCCACTGCCGTTCGACACCCTCCACATTGACCACTTGGGTCCACTACCGTCGATCAACTCAAAGAGGAAACATATTCTTGTTGTGATCGATTCTTTCACTAAATTCGTGAAGCTGTACCCAACCAACTCTACTAGCACGCGAGAAGTTACTGCCGCACTTGAAAAGTATTTTAGCTATTACAGCAGACCCAGACGAATAATCAGCGATAGGGGGACGTTCATTCATTTCATTCATTTTTTACTTGCGCCAAATCATTTTGGCATGGTTGAAGTACTATTGATCTGCATTTTTCGTTTTTGCATAGCTGAACGGTCGGTATTCTAGATTTGTTCCCGGAAATGACGAATAACTTAAATCAAAAATGCATATTTTTATGTATTGTTTAGTATTTCCATTAAAACACCAAATACATTGCAAATTCGCATAGAATTAATAATATACATTTTACTTCTAATTGTATACTTTGCGTACTTTTTGTAGACCATTCTACTACCGTTTTCGCAAAATGCGATCACATTCTTCCCCTTTCTCCTACTTCCAAAATACAAATCTAGATAAAGGAGTGTCAAATTTTAGCTGTCACAAATTACACAACCTTGTATTATTGAATCATGGTTAAAAATAAAAAAGAAGCAATTGACATTTTGATACAACTATTCAAAAGAAAAATTGAAAGAGACAAATGGAAGTAATATTTACAGATAGATCTTGCAAGGAAAAATGCACAAATTGCCATAACCAATCCTGACTCCAGCAACAGCTTAATCAAAGAAATATTGCACACAATAGAGAACAGCAACATAAACAGGGCAGAAATTCATTACATCCCCGGGCATAGTAAAATACATCAAAGTGAAATGGTAGATTATGCAGCTAGAAATGCAGAAAGCAATGGCATATAGGAGACGCTTGGATGGACGATATCAGAAGCTGTAAAACAAATTGAAAGGAGATTAAAAACGAAATGGCAAGAAGACTACACCA